TGAGACGGGGCCGCCCTGCTCTCTCCTGTGAGACGGGGCCGCCCTGCTCTCTCCTGTGAGACGGGGCCGCCCTGTTCTCTCCTGTGAGACGGGGCTGCCCTGCCAAGAGACGACTCTCCAGGATTTCTATAGATGCCTTTCTGTAACATAACCATAATTTCACCATGTGCTGTGTAAACAGCAACATACAAGCAATTCAGATGAGATTCTGAGGTCAAGGTATTTTCCCATCACTGCAGAGAAGAGCTGGTGGAGACACAGCAACAAATCTGTGCGACATGAGACTAATCAGGGCGGTGAGAGACAGAGAACTGAAGAGCAGCAGGGGACACGCAACACCAACCACCGAGGGTTCTAGAAAAGCACGGCTGCCAGTCTTACCAAGTAAAAGTGGAAGGAAGATTAACAGAAACTAAAGAAATGCCATTGGCACCAGGTTTTGTTTTTTGAGACAGAGTTGCATTGTGTCACCCTCGATAGAGTACCATCACGTCACAGCTCACAGCAACCTCCAACTCTTGGGCTGAAGTGGGAACTACAGGCACCTGCCACAACGCCCAGCTATTTTTAGAGACGGGGTCTCGCTCTGGCTCAGGCTGGTCCCAAACTCCTGAGGTCAGGCAATCCACCCACCTTGGACTCCCAGAGTGCTCGGATTTACAGCACAGCCTGGCACCAAGTTTAGAAGCTTCTAACTCATTTCTTCTAAGACAACTATTTGGGCATAAAGTATAAGAGAAGTAAAGTAGCTCTGTCTCTGCTACGTCACCGTGAACTACACTGCTTTGCTCATGAACAAAGCCTTCCCTAGAAAGGCAGAGGCAAGGCAGCTCCAGCAGTTAAAACTTCCGTTTCCTACAAGAAAATCCATGAAAGACTTTGCTTTTGTTTGTAGCCATGTACACAAAATCACACGTGTACCACATAACACTCTAAAAAGCTAAGAAGGTACTAGAGCCACGTCCCAGGAGCAAACATCCAACCAGCAAAGGAACAAGGCAGGGCCAGGAGCTGAGACGTGACAGAAAGCCACAGCCCATCAACTTGAGGTCAGCAGACATGCTCCGCAAGCTGACGGAGTCGAGGTGGGAACTGGAGTCTGAACAACCAGACCAAGATGAATGAGAAGAAGGCAGAAAGTGGGCAGGGGAGGGCAAGGCTCAAGCACAGACTCCTAAGGAAGAGACGGATCTGGCCTGGCCACAGGAGGGGAAGCCATCACAGACACCTGGTGAGGTGAGCAGCACAACGCACAAAGAGACCCATTAACCAAAGAGGTGAAGAAATGAAATTATGAAAAAGAGAAGATGATAAAAACAAGGCAGGAGGTGAGAGAAAACCACCATATCATGTGCAACCACCTAAGCTCCACAAGGGAGGAACCTCCGCCATTCTGCTCTCTGCAGGGTCCCAGCGCCCAAACAGTGTTTGGCACAGATCATGCCTGTGCTACGTGAGAGCTTCCCCAAGGCCAGTCTGTCCTGCAGTAGGACACTGGAGCTGATGGAGGCCCACGGTGGGAAGGCTGGGGATGCAAGATCCACCGCACGAGACTGAGCTGATTCACACTCAGATTCGTCACAATTTCAGATCATTTCTTAGCCCAGGTACAGAAAAATGAAACACTCATAACACTGACCTTAAGAACAACAAAGATTGAGAAGAGAAGAAATAACAAAATAAATGACCATTTACCACAGAATTAAAAATACATACATGTTTAGAAAGTTTAATCTGCTGTTATCATACCAACTAGATATTTGCCAGCAATTTAAAATTTTACCTGAGAATATTATTTTCCTTTACTGTGTCATATGCAATAGTTTAGAAACAAAGATTTAGGTTATAGAGACTTCATATCAGAGATTTTTTAAGTTCACAAATTGAGCTTAAGTTTCAAAATGCAGCAAATTTTAGGACCCAGAAACACCTGTCTTGAGCCTGTGTTAAGACCTGATGCGCTCCAATAATTCTGTACACTCGCTGTGTGACACAGCAACCCTGAGGAAGTCGAGGCCGACAGGGACACTGGATGTGAAGTGCCACGTCTACTCCAGATACTAACACGGTGGCACCAACACCCACGTACATGAAAATCTCCTCTCAGAAGACTTGTGAGGGTACGAGGAGACAACCAGAGTACGCCTTGTGTGCAAGGGCAAGGTGCACACACACACAGTGCACAGAGTTAAAACAAAACCTTAAAATTACAAAATACACAGAGGTGAGAAGGAAATGCACCCACATCCCTGGTGACACGTCAGCATGGCAGACAGGGACGACCTGTATCTCCTTCTCCATACCTCCAGGCAGTGAACCTCTATTCTACTTTCAGTTTTACAGGCATTTAAAAATTCACTCCACATAAAAATGTTTACAATTACTCACCACATTGTAATAACTTTTGTTAATAGCAGTTGTATCAAATCCTTTGGGAGGACTCTTCAGCGCCCCAGACTTGGGAGACACAGGCTTTTCTGAAATAAAAACGTAATGTAGTTTTACCAATCAGCACTAGGGTGACACAACACATGGCCCCGCCCACAGCTGCCCCCCCCTGCAGACCCTCAGGTGGGTGGGGCAAGGCCCCTACAGCCACTGGCAGAGAGCCACAAGGACCCAGTCTCAGGACTCTGCTCACCCAGGCTCGAGAGCCTGCAGCCAGCACGGCCACCACCATCCATCCTCCCAGGTGCAGTGGAGAGCACCTGAGAGACCGCCATGCCTGTCAAGGCCACAACAGCTGAGCTACACGTAGAGCTAACAGCGCATAAGCACGAAACACTACACAGCTAAGAGGAAACGGCGGCACACACAGAACAACAGAAAACAGAAAACATAAAACATCCATGGCGCTGGGCTGTGTGCAGAGATCCTCTTCACGCAGAACACAAAGGCTTGGGACAGGCAGGACCTGGCTCTAGGCTTAACAGCCACCACACGCTGACAGCCACATAGAGGCAAGAGAGGAAAAGGCTACAGGGCCTCGGGGACTTACTTCCCCATCAGGCAGGACAGTTAAAGTACTCAAGACTCCAGCAAGGACTCGGATGTCTCAGAACTGCACAGCTTCCGTTCAACAGAGACTTGTACAGGGTATTAGGTGCTGAGAAAGCACTTGCTAAACAAAAATGTGGCACTGTGCCTGTCTGTCATCAGTGGGAGAGGTGTATCATGGCTTCCACAGATGTGTGTGTGCATGTGTGTGCACCATGGGTCCCATGCATGGTGTGCATGTATCTATCACAGGTTCCATGTGTGTGCATGTGTGTGTGTGTATGTGTCTATCACTGGTCCAACAGGACACATGTGTTCCTCCATCACTGCTTCCATGGGTGCATCTGTCACTGGCTATCCAGGGCTACAAGGCCAAGGTATTAAACTGGGGCTGGTGGAGACAAAGGGAAGGAAGAGGTTTCTTCCCTATTGTTTCCCAGGAAATTGATAAGCACTTCCTAGGGGATTGGTTCACACCAGTCACCATCACAGAGGGGAGTGTGTCTGTCCCTCTGGCGTATGAGCTGACAGGACCCGAGCAGCATGTCCACTGTCTCTCTCCTTGTCCCCCCACCATGCCCCCCACCCACACTCACACAGCCCAGGCTTCAGGCTGTACCCCCACAACTGCACCTTCAATCCCAACTGCACCTTCAATCCCAACCACTCCAGGCTCTAGGTGCCTAGAGCCAGTGAACTCCTCAGTCCCAACTCTCGTCTCAGCAGTGGAAACCCACAGAGCCCCCAGAGACTCGCAGTCTTCAACTGAGGACTCTCCTCCTACGGAGCTGCTCACATCAATTTCCCTTTAGTGCACCACTGTGAAGTTTTTCCAAATGGTTGAAAATAAAGAACAAAACAGGTGTCAGTGCTACTTGAAGGGATTCTCTCCACTCACAGGATGAAAAACAGAACCCCAGAGGAAAAAAATTATTTCTGAACTGTAAGAAATTCGAGGAGGAAAACCAATCTATTGTTCCCAACGCACTTCCCATCTCAACTCGTGTCTGTAGCTAAGAACCCCCAAACAATAAAGACTTATTAAATTTCTAGAAATAAATGATAGGACCACCAAAATGAAAATCTGCACAGAAGGAGAAAATTCATAAACTAAAAAGTAGATTTAAGAAATGGACTCAAAATATATATAGCACAGAAAAGAAAACAAAAAAATATGAAAAGTAGCAAAAGCCAACTGAGGGCAAACTAAGACATGGAATAGGCTTTCTGGAGAAGACAGAGCAGGAGCAGGAGCAGGGCACACTGCGCCAGGGGCTGTCCAGAACTGAAGCAGCCCTGGTCCTCGGGCTAAAAAGGGACTGACTAGTTTGGAGATGCAGAGGTCACTCTCCTGCCTGCCTGAGGCAAAGGACGTCAGGCAATTTCAAGCAACTCAACTACCATAAGGCTTTTTTCTGCTTCTTATTAGAATAGTAAGAGTTTCCATCATTCTTTATTCTCCTCCTCTACCTCGCCTGGCCAAGGCAACCCTTGCATGCAGCATTGCCAGCATTAATCTTCAGACCAGTGAGGGTCCACGTGCTCACCAGAGTCCTCACTCCCAGGCCTCCTGAATCTCACGCCCCTTTCTGTCAGGTACCGACCAAGGTGGCACACGTCTTCACAGGCATGGCCTGATAGGACACTAAATACGTGGTCTTTGTCTGAAAATGTTATCATTGTGCCATCACTGTTTTTCCCTATACTTTATTATAAAAATTTATAACTATAGATAAAAGTAAAGAAAATAAACACATACATATTCGTACTGAGTGTCAATGGTCATCAGCATGCAGCTGGTCTTATTCTGTCCCTTCTCCTGCTCTTCTCAAGCGCCACCAGTAATTCTCAGAATGACAGCACTTTGCGCATCAATCTTGCAATAGGGATCTTTCTGTTTAGTGTCTATCTTGCAATAGGAATCTTTTCTGTTTTGAAATCAAAACCCTAACATCAGGCCCTGTCACACCTGACAACACTAATAATAATGCCCTAGTGTTATCCACTGCCTCGTCCATATGCAAATCTCCTGCCACAACAATGCCTTTCTATAGCTGGCTCATTTGAATCAGGAGCCAGACCTCACAGCGCACCTGGCGGTGCCTCTGGTCTCCTTCAGGCGACAGAAGTGCACCTCCACTCTGCCTTTTTCTAGATGCGGCAGAGAGCAGGGAGGACGACCACCTTCCCTTCCCTTGCATGCGGGTCAGGCCACCTCAGGGAAGCTTCATAGGTAGGAACCCACTGGCTTTCCCACTGCTGTATTTCAGAGTTCCCACAACAGTGGTCACTCAAGTATAAATATTTATTGAATGGATATCGGTTGTGATTTAAATATAATTAACAACCTTGACAATCAATATGAAAAATGCAGCTGACCACAGGCGGAATGTGAAGGGGTAAGAGGGTCATGTAGGATTTCGTGCTACAAGGCTGGGTACCAAGAGACACCTGCCAACTGTCACCGAGATACAAAACAAGATCGAAGCGTATTTATTTAGAACTGCCAATAAAGGGAACCGACAGAAGAACAAAGGAACACTATAAAGAACAAGCCTGGAAGAAAGAAACAGGAAAGGAAAAGTACAGAGTCAGTGTCCAAAGGTACCACCCAGAGGGCACACAGACACACACTCTGGGCACCATGGGTCTGGTGCGTGGTAACCACAGGTGGGAAGCTCACAGGCTCATGTCTACCAATTCCTGCTTCTCACCCTAAACACTCTTTGTGGTTCCCCAGTGCATATAAATTTACGTTCACATTGTAGTCTATTAAGTGAGCAAAGCATTATGTCCTAAAATAAATAAAAAGTATGCACCTTAATGACACACCTTGAAATACTTTACTGCTGACAGTCGCCCAAGTGTTCAGCAGGTCCATCTTTCTGCACATGGAGGCTCTTGACTCAGTGTTGAGGGCTGCAGGCAGCTAGGGTAGCTTTGGCAACTTCTTATAGACAACAATTAAGCCCCCACATTAGCTGACTCTTCCACAGTCCTCTGCAGCATGTCACACTGGTGGACAGCATTTTACCCACGGTTGAAGGTTTTTCAAAACTGGAGCCAGCCTCTCAACCCTGCTGCTGCTTCATCAGTTGAGTTCATCAATATTCTAAATCCACTGCTGTTGAGTTCATCAATATTCTAAATCCATCAAAATTCTAATTCCACATACCCATGTTCACAGCGTGGCTACCAGCAGTAGATTCCATCTCAAGAAACCACCTTGTTCATCCATGAGCAGCAGCTCCTCCTTCTTTCAAACTGGATCACAAGATCACAGCAACTCAGTCCCACCTTCAGTCTCCACTTCTAATTCTAGTTCTAACTCTAGTTCTCTTGTTATTTCACCATGTCTAGAGCTACTTCCTCCACTAAAGTAGTTTTTTGTTTGTTTGTTTGTTTTTTAAGAGACAGGGTCCCTCTCTGTCTCCTTGTCTGGAGTGCAGTGATGCCATCACAGCTCACTGTAGCCTCAAATTACTGGACTCAACCAATCCTCCTGCCTCAGCCTCCTGAGTAGCTAAGACCACAGGTGCACATCACAACATCCAGCTAATTTTTTATAGAAACAGGGTCTCACTATGTTGCTCAGGCTGGTCTCCAATTCTAGGCCTGAAGTGATCCCACAGTGCTCCCCCACACACACACACACACTGCTAGGATTACAGGTATGAGCCACTACGCCTGGCCCCTATCAAAGTCTTCTGCCCCTGAAAGTCATCCTTGGGTGTGGAGTCAACTTCTTCCAAACTCCTGTTCCTGTTGATCCTCTAGGCACCTCCCATAAATCACTGAAGTTTTTAATGGCATCTAGAATGCTGAATCCTTTCCACAAGGTTTCCGTTAACTTTGGCCAGAGCCATGGAAGCAATCACCATCTATGGCAGCAAGAGCCTCAAAAAAAATGTATTACTTAAACAAGACCTGAAAGCTGAAATTACTACTTGGCCCACAGGCTGCAGAATGATGTTGTGTTAATCTCCTTGTCCATCTCCCTCAGCTCTGGGATGACCTGGTATCCTGCTAATGAGCAGTAATGCTGTGAAAGGAGTCTTTTTCCCTGAGCAGTAGGTCTCAACAGTAGCCTTAAAATATTCAGTAAACAGTGCTGTAAACAGCTGTGCTGCCATCCAGGCTTTGTTGCTCCTTTTGCAAAGCACAGGCAGAGTGCTTAATTCTAAGGACCCTGTGATTTTCAGAAAGGTGAATGATGAGCACTCCTTCAATTTAAAGTCACCAGCTGCACCAGCCTGTGCAAAGCTCCAAAATCAGGAATTTACTTTTCCTCTCCTGCAATCAAAGTCCAAGATGGCATCTTCTTCCAACAGAGGGCTGCTTCATGGGGACCGGAAATCTGTTGCTTAGTGCAGCCATCTTCATCAACTGTCTTCTGGATCAGGTGCTGCTTTACCTCGTGCTTTTATGTTGTGAAGACGGCTTCGTGTCTTAAAACTCCTGAACCCAATCACTGCTGGCT